TTTATTGAAACTTTTTCTCCCTTTTTTACTAATGTAATCAGTTAGTGCTATTGTTTTCCTTGTAAGCATTGTTTTGTGTGCTTTCTGGTCATGTTGGGTGGAGTGTTCTATAAACCATTAAGTCAAAATTATTTAACAGCATTGTTCAGGTCTCGTATATCCTTGCTGATTTTCTATTGATGTTTTCTATTATTTAGTGAGCACAAAGGAAACATATTTATTAAGAACTGTGAATTTATCTATTTGCCTTTTCAGTTATCTTTTCAGTTCTAACTATCTCAGCAGTTTTTGCCTCAAGTATTTTGAAGCTCTGATATTATGTGCATACATGTTTAACATTGTTATGTCTTCTTGCTGAATTACCCTTTATAATTATAGAATGAGTGGATTCCTTGTGGAAAGTGTATAGTTGGGTCTTTTTTTTTTTTTTAAATCAACTTGACAATCTGTTTAAATTGGTGTTTTAAAAGTATTTAAATTTATTACAATTATTTTTATGGTTAGATTTAGATCTATCATTTTATTATTCATTTCTGTTTGTGCCTTCTGTTTTTGTTCCTCAGTTCCCCTTTTCCTAACTTCATTCAGAGCATTTTAATAGATTTAATATTCCATTTGAATTTATATATTCCATTTTTTGCTATTTCTCTTTGTATTATGACTTCTAAGGATTACATTTTACGTACATTTCACTGTTCATTTGCAGTTAATATTTCATCATTTCAAGCAAACTATATAAGTCTTATAGTGGTATAAGTTACTTCATCCTCTCTACCTTTATGTTATAATTTTCAGATTTTTGCCATCTGTAAACTTTTAAAAACCTGCCAGAGAAAAATGATTGTTTGCAACAGCAGCACCCATTTCAAATAAATGAAAAAGAGAAAAAAAATAGTTTCATGTATTTACCATATGTTACTCCATTCCTAAATGCCATTTTTTTCCCCTAGTATAATTTCCCTTTGGCTTCAAGAACTTCCTTCAGATTTTCTTTTAGACCAGCATTCTT